TATATGGCTGGCATATACTTTGACATTCCATTCTGGCATTCTTTCTGGCATCTGTTCTGACATTCTCTCTGACATTCTTTCTGGCATTCTATCTGGCATCTATTCTCACATTCTTTCTGGCATTCTATCTGAAATTCTCTCTGGCATCTGGCTGAAGTCCAGCAGTGCCCACTGAGATCTGGAGTTCGCGGTTGAGATCCGCAGTACCCACTGAACTCCTGCAGCTCGCGGTTTAGGTCAGGCAGCGCGCACTGAGCTCTGGAGCTCGCGGTTGAAGGTCCGGCAGTGCCCACTGAGATCGGGCACCGCAGTTGAGGTCCGGCAGCGCGCACTGAGATCTGGCACCCGCAGTTGAGGTCCGGAGCGCGTACTGAGATCTGCACGGTTGAGGTCTGGCAGTACCCACTGAGATCCATCTGGGGCTTGCGATTGAGGTCCCGCAGTGTTCACTGACATCTGGAGCTCGTAGGTGAGGTCCAGCGGTGCCCACTGCGATTTGGAGTTCACGGGTGAGGTCCGGTTGATGCCTGGCAGTGCCCAGTGACATCTGGAGCTCGTTGTTGAGGCCCGGCGGTGAGGAAGGAAGGAAGGAAGCAAGGAAGCAAGGAAAGCAGGGAAAGCAGGGAGGGTGGGAGGGAGGAAGGATGTATCTTTAATCTTTGATAAAAATTTTGAGACCAACACCACCAGGTCGGGAAAAACAGTCCTGAAAAATAGTGAGAAATCATCACAATCCCTTCCACTAACATCAACAACCCCCTTGGAAACGTCCGAAACCCGGGTTTAGCATTGGATCTATTCATGTTGGGGCCATATGCAGGTATGATGGGATCAACACGGGCTCTGGGTGAATGTGAATGGAAAGTTTGCGCAGGAGAGCGTGTTGAAGCGACCCAGAGACGGGCCACGCTTACCTGCTGGTGACTTTTGCCATACCTGTACTCGTAGCAGTAGCAGTCGCTGCAATATTCTTTGGTGGATGCAAGATTACCCTGATAGATGTTGTACCGAGTTTTAGACGTTTCGGACGTTTGACATGTGCGCATCAAGCTGCACTTTTGTGGGGAATCCTGGCGAAGTCGCAAGCAGATAACAATCTTGCAAGGCCTAAACCGAATCGGGTTTGGGCCAAATATAGCTGTCGCAGAATGGCGTGATTGATTCACCGACATCCGGGTGAGGCTCAAGCCATTGGTCGGCCGTGATTTTGGTGAATCCTGGGGCTGAATTTGCATCTAGTCACCTAGTGATCTAGGAACATTCCTAGATATCCCTAGCAATCGCATGAGAGCTTTTGTAGGACCTCGGCACAGGCCTTCTGCTGATCTCATCGTGGGAAGCCAACCAAGCACCCCACAGAACATATCAAAAAAGACTAAAAATACATCAAACAAATGTCGGAGGAAACATTAGATCGGCAATACTACTGCCGCTGTGCTGGGGGAAACTGCATTCTGGCTGCATGTGACTGCTTTGCTCTTAGTACTGGCGGTTGTTGTGTGCAGCCAAGAAAAAGACAGCGGTTGATGTGTGTGGCGGGCGGGTGGCTGCCTATCTAGAGTCTCACTGTCGTTGGGCCATGTAAGATCAACGTTTTTTGGGGGGGGGAGTGCTAACTGATATGAATGGCATCATCAGCCATCCAAGCTGGTCATGGCGTGCCACTGCAGCATGCACAAGACAAGGATACAAGGAAGAAAGGATCATGAAGGGATGGTTACATAGTTAGATCTTGGATTCGAACTGCATGCTGTGCGCCTTTTTTTAGACTTGTGAGCATGACTGATTGGTTTGATAGTAGCATCGCATAACATCCAACAAAGTGTCGTGTCTCAAATGTTCATCTCGCTTTATCATGCTCTCATTGGATGCGTTTTGGTACTTTCAGTGGAGACCGCAAAGAATCCGGCATTGAATCTTGTGATACCTGTAGATCCTGTGGTCTATTTATGATCCCGGTGCAGGAGAAGCAGCAAGTTTTTAAGGCGGAGAAGGCAAGTTGACCCAATGCAGGGTTCTTGAACACTTCCTGACCCAAACTCCCTGGCGCAAAGATGCATGTAATCATATGAATCTCTAAGTCATGTAAGGCATAGTTTTGTGCCAAAGGCGGATGTATTCAATAATATAATATAATGTGATTGTATGTGTCAAGCTCTCTTCCATCTTGTTTGCGGTTTAGTCAAGTGGACCGTTGGACATGTTCGGTGTCAGGATCGGGGGTCGACATTCAAAGAATACTGGTCGCGGTCATTACCCTTTCAGCTGGACAGAGGCGCAATACCGACAGTCGCCAGCAGCTCAGGGTTTGCTTCCATGGTAACTCGCGTTCTTGAGGAGGAATGGTGAGAATGTAGCATGATCTTGCCCACTGCTGGTGGATATGCGTAGCTGCATGTAGCTGCGTAGCCTTTCATCACTTCTCCAAACCAAGCTAAGTTTTGACTTATGTTGTATCCTGATTTGGGGCCACAAGTGTAAGGACCCCATAGTTTGAAAGACACAGGAAGCAGTACCTTAAGCCGCTTCGCCGAGCTTTGCGCGCAGAGACCTCAAGGGCTCGATTGCTTCGGCGAGTGGGCGGTGCTGGGATCAGGGTCAGGTTGTGATCTTCACCTACTGCTTGGCTGTCCAATGCGTTCAGTTGTTTTTTGATGTTTTTTGTGCTTTCAAGTTAGGGCATGCAAAAAAAGAGAGAACGCAAGTTGGTGCCCAATGCCAAACCTTTGGAAGGGCTGTCAGGAAGAAGGATAGAAACGCAAGTCTGTGAGCTATCCCAATGGTATCTCATCAGGATGGTGAAGTAGATGCTGGCGTCATTTTCTCTTTGGCCGAAATTGCCAAAGATAGCCAGGGCCTCTGAAATCGCGTCACAGGCGCACAGTACGTCAGAATGTTCTACAGTATTGTTTCTCAATTCACCTCAAAAAAAACAAGTTGTGAAACCGAGCTTTGTAGTGCTAGTTGTGACCCACTAAAACTGCTTAACTATGATTAATGGCCAAGTAGCTTCACTTTGGTGCCTGGTGTCAGCATCAAAGATCAGTCCACGCCTTGAGGTGGCCAGCGCCGATACCGAGCAGCCAAGGAGGTGGTGTAATCATCGCTGGTCGGAATTCATGGCGGAGGAGTTGCAATTTAGAAGAATTTAGCAGAAATTTGGCAATTTTGGCCGTAGGCAAGGCAACTATAGTTTCCCGAAAAGTGGTGTAATCCTGCTAAAAAGAGAGCCATGGCAGGCTTACATGCGCTTGGCCATTGGTAACCACCCCTGGCCTATGGGAGTGCGGGGCCCAAGACTGGATTGAAGAGTTGGAACGAATCATGAAAAAGTGAGTAGCACGCGGGTGTCCGTTTCTTACAAGAAAGGCTCTATACATGTTACAAGCAGTTTCAAGTGTATGGGACTCTTGGACTACATCATGTTTCGGATTTTATCAGAGTGCATCATTGCAGCATCGGGATGCATTGGGTCCTGGCCGTCGTTTCAGGTTACCTTTGTGACTTTCCATGACCGAGCAGCTCGACATAAGATTGGTGAAGGTGCTCAAGCACATGTGTTGGATGTGCCAGCCTAAGACACTTGGGTGTGGGTGGGCAAGGGCGAGGACAGAGAACATTCTGCTTTGCCATGCGCTAGCAACAACAAGCACAACTCCAAGCTTCAGAAAGATGCTCAAAGATGTCAAAAGGGTAGGTCCACAACCAGCAGCTGACAGTGTTTTGCGTCCACAACTTCCACGCATTGCAGGATGAGACCACACGGAAATACGTGCAGATGGTAAAGCGCTTGGTGACCTTTGCGGTCACTCGGCAGATGCCAACGTGTGGGTGTTGGGTAAGGCGGAGACTGCAGAGCACAGTCCCAGTACTGTATATGTCCAATTTTTTCTGGGTTCATTGTGATGGAGGCTGTGGCCTTTGGTGACTATGCTTTCACATTTCTTCACTATTCATGAAGTTCATGGTGCAAAATCATTCCCAGTTGGGAACCTTCAGGAGCGTCGTTGGCCTATCGATCCCACCCAAGAAGAATGAGGCACTGAGAGAGGGTGGACCGCAGGCGATCTCCATGTGATCTCCATTGATTAATCACTAATTCATATGTTCCACTTCCATCCACTTCCTGCATCCCTTTTGCAAGATGTGGCCACCATGAATATGGGAAGGAGATTACTCAAATGATGAACTGGCAAAGCAGCTGCCCCAAAAAAAAAACGAGGGACTTTTTTAGCCGGCAAGGGTGACCATTCATAAATGTGTGATATGATGTGATATGTGTTTGCATGTTTGGAAAGAATACGAAAGAATAAGAAGAAGTTTGCGAAGTTTGCGAGGTTTGAAGGGCACGTTGGCGCAAGTGACTGTTGGAAAGGCAACTCTGCGGTGAAGAGAGCTCGCCGGCAGAAAACGACGCGAGTTTTAGGCTGAGTCAAAGTGTGGCATGGTATGCCAGGCATTTGATGGCTTCTGGAGGGCTCAAATGGGACCACCTGAATAGAGCCATCGAGTCATGGTATTTCATAGTGCTCACTGATTCGGAGAGCTCGCAGCAAATAGCATCGTTACATATCATATCATATCATATCATATCATATCAATCATATCATATCATATCATTTCATACCATAGCATAGCATATCATATCATATCATATCATTACAGCTAGTTATATGTATATATATATATAATCCCCGGTTGAGGTTGCTATAGTCTCAACATAACTCAGACAGAATCGGTGTTTGGCTGCTGCACCTGTGTCTTTCGTGCAGACATTAGTTGCTCCAACACCAGAGAGGGTCCCATTGATACTGACCATTTAGTTTATGCTTTTGCATCAATGCGCCCGGCAGCATCATGAAATGTCAGTCGATTTTGTCATTGATTAGGTTTGATCCATTTGAGTCAACCCATTCCGACATGCAGACCGTTCACAGATCTTCCACCTGGCCACTCACATCCCCTAGAGTTACTGTACAGTAGGTGGTTAAAGGCGTGCCTCTTGCATTAAAGGCGTGCCTGGAGAAAACCGTAGAGGAATTGCATTGATATTGCAGTCACTGGGTCACCTGCCTGGTTTGGTGACAGCGGTGGAATCATGTCGCTGCTGGGACTGCATGAGAATCTCTTTGTTTTCTCAATGGTGGGGAATCTTCAGAGATTTCCGAAATAAGTTTATCAGATGTTCCCGTTTGCTCCATGAATCCATCAGATTATATTGTATATATTGTATATTACGCCAACCCTGTCGTATATTATTTACATTTACTTACAGGATGTGTCTAGGTTTGAAATATTTGGAGATGGATTCATATACATAACATAACATTACGGATATTACGGCCAGGATGGGGGTGCTGCCCGGGGCCAGTGCTTTATGCATTTTGGGATGTCGGCGGATTGCCCAAATGGCTGGCGAGATTTGTTTCCAAAGCATAAACCCTAAACCTTAAACCCTACATCGTAAACCCTAAAACCATCTAAAACTTACATTTGATATGACACCGTAAGTAAGCCTCGAAAGTAAAATCTTAATTAAACCCGCGGTAAAAACCCTAAAAACCCGAAACAAACCCTAAAGAGTTGGCCACATTGGGCGGCACCCCGGCCTGGGTGTAACATTATATCACTACAATGTGTGTGTGTGTGCAATGTATACATATATGTATAATATATATATATATATATACATAACACATTATAATTAGATATAACACAATATAAATAATAATAGATACACATATGTAAATGTGTTGTATGTATATGATATATGTGATCTCCATATATACATATACATCCCGCCGGATCTTTCACCGTCCCACGATTATGATAAAATCGTTCTGTCGCCACAGTAGCGTGTCAATTTCTTGAGGCCAAATAGTCTCTTATTTTTTTCAGAAAAAATATGTGTTGTTAACCCTTACAGGGTTCTGTGTCTTAAAACGAGTCGGATACTGACACGCCTTTTTCCTTTATCAGAACGTCGCCAGGGTTTGTCCAGTTTCGGCCAGGATGTCTTTGTCATGACATTCCCAACGCCACTGCTGACTTCTCATGTACTTCCACAAGACTTTGTTGGGCTTACCACCAACTGTGCTGTTAATGGAATTTGGTATTCCATCCTTCAGCAAAGTCCAATAGGCATCAATGCCTCCTGTGTGCACCCTAACGGAGCCACGTCCGTGGACTGAGCGCCAAACCGAAAAGACACCTTTGGAGTGGTTGCATTGTCGAAGAAGAAGTTTGGACATCTTTGACAAGCCTTTGTAGCAAGGTGCCCCATCAGCAAGCAACAAGGTTGTCTTTCCACGACTATCCTTTTGACCTATGTCAGACATGGCTCCTGTTTCCAAGATTCTTCTCTTTGACTCTGGCGGAGGCTTTCCAAATTGCTTTGAAGTTGCCAGTGGCAAAGCATAGAGATTGCATATCCTGCGACTGAATTAGTGCTTGGAATCAGGATCTTGAAAATGTTTTAAACGTTTATTTTTTTTTTGGAGTCCCGGTCCTGTCAGTGTTGCTTCCCTGCCTTCGCTTGTAGATCCCGAAGGCTTGATAGTAAACATTGTTCCCAGTAGGTCTATGCCTCCACTTTCGAATCGTCGTAGCATCTACTTCCAAGTCTCCTGATGTGTCAAGCACTATGTAATGAATAAACATCAGTCACTGACGTCGTGTAAGTGTATGAGATGGAATATTCAGTTACTCAAACAACCAAAAAGGTAACGACGAAGCCATTCAGTCCTGTCAAAGTCCTGCTGTTTTGACGTGCGTCCATGCATCTGTTTTCAGCAGTGCGCAAAGCCATCCACAAGCGAGCCAGTGCGGATGTTTTGGCCGAAGCGGAAAGACCCAGTGCCGTGGCAGCAGATTCGACACTTTCTGCAGAGGGGCCATGAAAGTACCGTTTCATCGCAGCCAGGATCAAAGGAAGCGGAAGCTTCAAGATTGGCAAAGCGCTGAAGGCCAAAGTATCGTACCAGTTTCTGCAACCACTGCACCTATAGTACATTCTTCCTGCACCTCTTTTTACACTGTCTTTGAGGGGACATTGGATCAACCGATTTTCACACTGACCACAGCTTGGCGGTTTTTGCAGCCACCCAGTCTTTCTCAAATTTTTCCATGCCAAGTTGACTTCTTTCAATGTGTATTTTTTCAACTCCTTTTTCTTGGCGCGTGGTTTTCTCATGCGTTCGGCGTCCCTGTTTCTTTTCTTGGCTTTCACTTTGCGTGTCTTCTTTTTTCTGACATTGGCATTCTTTCGAGGAGGTGCTCGGAATCTTTTCCCTCTAGCACGTTTCAACGTTCTATCTCTACGGGGAGGCACATTGAGTTTCAATGGCTGTCCCTTTCGCAGAACAGTTTGCAGCTGATCGACGCTTGCGTGCTTGGTAGCTGCTTTGAGAAGCTCTTGCGCTAAACTGGGGCAGCTTGACCGGTAATGTCCTGGTTTCGAACAATACCCACACAAGGGTTCCTGTTTGGAACCCCGCTTCATTGAGCCGGAGACAACTGCATGAAATTCAAACTCATGCATGCTTGCAAAATGGATAATGGCTCGACCTGCTGCCAGAGGACCTGGACTCTTACCTTGGATTTTGAGTGACGTGTGATACGGACATATATATATATATAAATCTTTCTATCTATCTATCTATCTATATATATATATAGATATAGATATAGATAGATAGATATATGTTTATATAAAAGTATATGTTAAAATATATCATGCATGCAGACTTCTGGTGTCAGCACGTCTCCCAAAAGTCACTTGCACTGATGAAAGTGTTCTTTTTCTGCGTGCTGCACACCCCTACAGCTACACAAGTCTTCAGCCGCGTGCACCATTGCGCAGCAGCATATTTGGGAGGCTATTGTACTCGTTTTGCATCGACTTGTGCAAATCGCTGAAACGTTCCTGAGGAAACACTCTTGAGCCCCAGCAAGCTCGCTGGTTGGCTGCCGAGCGAGACCACCAGCGTGAGCACATGAGAACTAGATGGCCTTTGCGTGGTCCACTTTTGAATATCCATGGCTTCAAGCTGTGTAAACACTGCTTGTTCGGGCAACGTCCCCAACGGGTGGCCTTATTCAAAGACACCCTGAGGTGAGGAGGCTTCTCAGCTCTTCTGGGGACCGGCAGCGGAGCATCATCTGCAATGTCTGAGTCATCATTTGAATCCTGCTGAGACCATGCAGCCACGCCAGAGCACCAATTGGCTGAACCACGAGTGAGTTCCCGAGGCAATAGAGAAGATGCCGGGGACACATTGTCCGTGGAACTTCCGCTTGCAGTGAAAGAACATGTAGAAAGGCTCGCACGGTCAAGAACCTGTGTCAATGCACGACGTCTTGGTGGGTCTGCGTATCCAGCAGCAAGCTTTGCCAATCTATGGTGTGGACTTTCGTCACCGTGGATGGAGCTCAAAGCGTCCTCCTCATCACTTGGTTCTTCATTGACCACAGTATCCGCACAATGACGCATGTCATCTGTCACCAAAGTCTGAGAAGGATCCAAGTCAATGACCTGATCAATGACGGGGAGCACAGGAAAGACAGAGTCGGAAAGTATTTCATCTTCCGAGTCAGAAACCATGATCACGGGCTGCAGGTGGTGCAACTCAGTATCATCCAAGACCTGCAATCGGAGCAAGCAGGTCAAGGTCTATAAAGTCACATATATATATATATTAACTATCTCCTTAGAGATATGATGTTACAACTTTCTTCTTATATATATATATATATATTTATAAATATATATATATATACAGATGATCTATAGTCCCCTCTGGATAGTTCTGTCGAAATGTTTTCCAAGGTTTATCCTTGATGTAGTCGTAGAAACCACTGATAATAATTGTGAAACTTCACAATTCCACGACAACACAAAGAAAGGAGCAATGAATTGGAGGACCAGCAGCCGGAACCGTCTGAATCAAGCCGTCTCTGTCCTCGCCAGCATCTTCCACAGGCAAGTTCGTCCCAAGCAATGCATCATATGCAAGGGCAGGCTGCAGCGATGGCGTGTCCGCATCACGTTGAAGAACTGCTGAAAGGTCATGCCTCAGCAACAAGTTGCGAGAAAAAGAAGCGTTACACAGTTTAAGGAGACGCTTGACTGACCACCACGAACCAAAACTTATGTCATCAGCGTGACAAGCTACCATTGTTGCACTCCAGCGACATGCACACAAAAAGACGTGATCTGCGTGCGACGACCACGTGCTACAAGTGTTTGCAGAGCAGCAGAAACGGCTGGGCCAGGGCACGGGTTGGATCGTAAAAAACGATGCCATTGATCTCTCAAAACTGGCACTGCCCGTCTCAACGTAGCAAAGTCGTGCACATTGGCCATGATTGCCTGCACTGCTTGCAATCCCACGTCGTAGCTTCTAGCTTCTTCAAATGCAGAACACGGAGGCGACATGACTTCATGAAGATGATCTAAATACTGCACATCGTATTGCCGCCATGCCGACAACAAAGGTGGCAAAGACTGCCGAGTGAAACGTAAAAGAATTAGGAACGTAAGTCCTAGGACCACTTGATCCATGAAGCCCACTGGTGGGAAGACCATCAATGGACACAGACCATTTACACTCACAGCATGTACACTCATTTGGCTTTCGGAAGCAAGTGTCAAACACGTATTAACGTAATCCATCTCAATCCATGTGTTCCTACCCACAAATATAACATTAGTAAAAACAATCCCCACACAAACAAAACAACCCCTCGTCGCTGCCAAAGGCATCTTGACACCAAAGACCCGCGAAATCTGAGCATCTGACCTGACCGGATCGGACAACACAAAGTAATTATAACATATGGAAATGTGGTGTATGAATACAAGGTGATTTACACAATAGAACCATTAGGGGAAAAATGACATGCTATAATATGCTATATACTATTAGCAATTGATCCGATACCGGCCCACAATGACAACCCCACCCCACCCCATGCGTGACGTAAGACATCTTCAACGTAGCATGACATATGTGCGCCAGTGCAAGTTAACGTGCAGTGGCGTCGCATCACGTATGTGTGGAAGTTGCAGAAGAACGTGCAGTGGCGTAGCATCACGTATGTGTGGAAGTTGCAGAAGAACGTGCAGTGGCGTAGCATCACGTATGTGTGCAAGTGACAATGAACGTTAACATCCCCACCCCACCCCACCCCACCCCAGCGTAGCATCACGTATGTGTGGAAGTTGCAGACGAACGTGCAGTGGCGTAGCATCACGTACGTGTGCAAGTGACAATGAACGTTAACATCCCCACCCCACCCCACCCCAGCGTAGCATCACGCATGTGTGGAAGTTGCAGACGAACGTGCAGTGGCGTAGCATATCGTACGTGTGCAAGTGACAATGAACGTTAACATTCCACCCCACCCCACCCCACCCCAGCGTAGCATCACGTATGTGTGGAAGTTGCAGAAGAACGTGCAGTGGCGTAGCATCACGTATGTGTGTAAGTGCCAATGAACGTTATTGCCCCACCCCACCCCACCCCAGCGTAGCATCACGTATGTGCGGTAGTTGCAGAAGAACGTGCAGTGGCGTAGCATCACGTAGCATCTCGTACGTGTGCAAGTGACAATGAACGTTCACATATCCACCCCACCCCACCCCACCCCAGCGTAGCATCACGTATGTGTGGAAGTTGCAGAAGAACGTGCAGTGGCGTAGCATCACGTATGTGTGTAAGTGCCAATGAACGTTATTGCCCCACCCCACCCCACCCCAGCGTAGCATCACGTATGTGCGGTAGTTGCAGAAGAACGTGCAGTGGCGTAGCATTCAATATGTGTGAAGGACAATGAACGTTAACATCCCCACCCCACCCACCCCACCCCACCCACCCCAGAGTAGCCATAACGGATGTGTGGAAGTGCAGAAGAATGTGCGTGGGTAGCATTCACGTATGTGCTGGCAAGTGACAATGAACGTAACATCCCCACCCACCCCACCCAGCGTAGCATCACGTATGTGTGCAAGTGGACAATGAACAGTTAAACATTCCCCACCCCACCCCACCCCACCCAGACACGTTAGCATCACGTATGTGTGGAAGTTGCAGACAGACCGTGCAGTGGCGTAGCATCACGTATGTGGCCAAGTGACAATGAACGTTAACATCCCCACCCCAACCACCCCACACCACCGTAGCATACACGTATGTGTGGAGGTTGAAGACGAACGTGCAGTGGAGTAGCATCCACGTAGGTGTGCAAGTGACAAGGAACGTGAACATCCCACCCCACCTCCACCCCACCCCAGCGTAGCATCACTTATGTGTGGAAAGTTGCCAGAAGAACGTGCAGTTGGCGTAGAATTAAGTATGTGTGCAAGTGAAAATGAACGTACATCCCCACCCCCACCCCACCCAGCGTAGCATCACGTAGGTGGAAGTTGCAGAAGAACGTGCAGTGGCGTAGGCTCAAGTATGTGTGCAAGTGACAATAAACGTTGTAACCATCCCCACCCCATCCCACCCCCACCATCCCCAGCGTAGCATCACGTATGTGTGGAAGTTGCAGAAGAACGTGCAGTGGCGTAGCATCACGTATGTGTGCAAGTGACAATGAACGTTAACATCCCCACCCCACCCCACCCCAGCGTAGCATCACGTATGTGTGGAAGTTGCAGAAGAACGTGCAGTGGCGTAGCATCACGTATGTGTGCAAGTGACAATGAACGTTAACATCCCCACCTCACCCCACCCCACCCCAGCGTAGCATCACGTATGTGTGGAAGTTGCAGAAGAACGTGCAGTGGCGTAGCATCACGTATGTGTGCAAGTGACAATGCACGTTAACATCCCCACCCCACCCCACCCCACCCCAGCGTAGCATCACGTATGTGTGGAAGTTGCAGACGAACGTGCAGTGGCGTAGCATCACATATGTGTGCAAGTGACAATGAACGTTAACATCCCCACCCCACCCCACCCCACCCCAGTTTTGTGGGCCGGTAAAAGATCCGCTAGCATATACATATATACACACACACGTACATATCATGATACGTTCTGACAGTTCTCGTCTCGTTCGCCCAGGTTCGCACCCTATGCTGCAGTTGCAGCAATCTCGGCCTCCCTTGGCGCTGTGCTTGGCTCGGAGAAGGTCCAAGTCTATGGGGCCTTGGTGTCACGGCCAAACTTGGGTGGGCCAGCGGTTTCCCTCTTACCCTTCGGTAGTTTAACGTAGCTATTGGAAGCCATGGCCTGTAGATGATTTACTGTATTAGTTAGTAGCTACAAAAATATTACAAAAATACCAAAGAGTTGTGATTTTCCATGGCTATGTTTGATTATCAGAGGATATATATACTTTCGTTCAATGATGTTAAATTGCCACAATTTGGATTGAATTGGGTATATTTGGGTATACACTGGTGAACTGGTACGCGTCATTTAGGGACAAACCCAGATGGTTCACTTCTTGTGGTAAGTTGGTGGAAGTAGCCAGATGGTACAGATTTATGCAGATTTGATCGGATTTGCTCTTGATTTGATAGACTGGGGCCCAATTCGGAGACGAGGAGTCATGAGTAATTAGTGGTCCGAACTTAAGATCGAAGATGCTCCAAGATGAGTCTGAGTGTATTTGTGGTTTTACTATGTTTTACTAAATGTTTGAGTATTTTGGGCTGGAGAGATGTGCACTGTCCCATTGACTGACATTTGCAAAAATGACATGGTTAAGGAGAGGATCGGTGGGTTGGATCATGTTGGATCAGACAACTGAAAGAAAAACCCATCAATTCGCGCGCTGAGAGTGAGAGTGGCAGAGACACTGAAAACATGCCAGGAGCATCCAGGAACAATTATTAATCAGAGCAATTGGTCTTGGCAAACCGAGGCAAAGGTGAAAGGCTGGCAACTTGGCTGAAAGTTTTGGTAGCCAGCTGGAGCTGGGAAAGTGGGGAGAACTTTGGGGGTGACATGATGTGACATGGGTCGAGGTTGTGGGTCAGGCCCCCATGCTGCAGGTTGGGCTTCAAGGCAGCTGCTGTGGACCTCACGGAGCCATCTGCAGTGCTGGCAGAAGCCTTGAACTTGGCAAAGGCAACGCCCCAAGATTGCGGAGTGCTCTCCACGCGACAGCTGCGAGGTACGGGGCGGATGTCGTGGGGGTGCGACGAGGTAGGATGCTGTGACAAGACGGCTGCTGGTCGGGATGGCCATTCCAATTTGCTCAGCACTCTCGCATACCTGATTTACATTGACTTACCCTATCTCGATTCCAAGTGATCCAAGTGTGTTGGATGCAATTAATTATGTAGGTCAGCCACGTCCTCGCCGCAGGTGGCGTAGCTTCAAGGATGGTGCAGTTAAAGGACCGGCCGAAGCATGCCGAAGCAGATCCCACACTTTCTGAATCATTTTGAGAATGTCTTGAGGATGTGTGGCAGCTTTAGGCAGAATATGTGCGGGGCAGCACGCGCCCACATCCCAATGGGGCATGATGCTGCTGCACGCACGTCAGGAGCCATTCGGCGTTCAAGAGGAAGATGGAAAGGTCAAAGTAAACTTTTTCACATCGCAGGCGAGCAGAAAGTCGATTGACTGCATATTCAAGGACATATTCAACCCGCCTTCCTCTCGCTTCCAACCTGAAAGTTGCAACCTGAGATTGTAGATTGGTGTCGTGCCAAGGTTTAGCGAGCTCAAGAGTGATCCCAGCTGCGCGTTGCTCTACTGGAACCCGGAAACCTTGACCTACGCTGCTGCCTCAGAGGTTTACAGCCTTCAAAATCTTCAAAGATGCCTTCTAATCCTTCTATATCCTTTCATTGCTGAATGCTGCAGGTGACCTTTCAGGGGCGAGCAGAGGAAAAGTCGCCTTCAGAGGGAAACAACTTTTGGAGGGAATGGATGCAGATTCTGTACAAGGACTGGCACTGCACGGGATATATGACAAAAGATCCGAACATGTTGCAACATTGTCACGAGCCAGCCATTGGATTCGATTGGGGCATTGGCATTGGAATTTGGTGAAAGGATTTGACGATGTTGACTTCATTGTATGGTTCGGAAATGATAGAGACAAGGCATGCACATACCAAATGAACTTGGTTGTCAATCCAATCTTCAATTTCACGGAGTTTGGTAAGATGCTTTTAAATGCATTGTAGTCTTGATATGTTTGGAGGAGCATTCCTCTGTAGACTCATTGTAGACATGATTCGGGTAATCATGTTTTCCTTGCGGTCGCAAAGAGAAGCTGTCATTGAGTCTTCCAAAGTTAGGAGACTTGAGGACTGCGGCCCAGAATTTGTTCAGACAAGGATTATTGATGCTTATCACTTTGGACGCGAGTGTCCTGGTTGATCTACAGGAATCCTACAGGAATCCGTGCAAACAGCGAGGATTTCAAGAAGAACACCTAACTGCTTTTGCGCCATAAGCAATTGGCAAAAGGAGTATGGTGCATTGGGGCCAACAAGATCGTCACATGGGCCCGCAAACTGGCAGTGACAGATAAGAAGTCCAGGATCAGCTGAGGAGTGTGCAGGAGGTTCAGGCCATAGGCGCTGGATTCACTGCGATCTTGTCAAGATCAGCTCGAATTTCTGTAGCTCAAGGTGCTGAAGATTTGGAGGATGGAACTGTTAAAGTTGTTAAAGCTTTCACAATTTTCAGGCCTCGAAAGACAACTGTATAGCAGTTGCACAAGACTTCCCGCCCAAAAGAAGTTCACTGAACTCATCGGTGTAATTCCAACCCCCATGCCCTATCCCAAAATAGTTTGACCAAATGCCTTACCCAAGCCAAGCAAATGGCAAATTCATTTCTAGCAAGATTCTGCCCGCACTTCCTGTTTCATTTGCCGTAACTTACAATCATGCATCATCATTTATCCATATGGTCCATATGTTTTCCTGTTTGCCACATCCGCTAAGTATCGATGTTTGAATCATCTTAGGCTGCATGACATGTAGTATTCCATAGCCAGAAATGGCTGCAACTCAAGCGATGCTACCGCTAAAGGATCCAAAGCTGTACACTGCATGGCATTTGCATGTCCCTTGGATGCGTTGTGAGCCCATGCGGCGAGAATGGGGAGAGTTGCTATGTTTTTGATGTCAATCTACAACTAAGATGGGCTAAAAGGCATCATGACAAGAGAGCCAGCATCCCATCCAAACCACAGTGGTAGCTCAAAAGGTAGTTCTACAGCTTCAGCATGATTTGCAATGACAAATTTTGAGAATGCTGCTACTCAGTAGAGGCTTTGCCTAGCGGGGTCTGTACCTGCAAAGGATTTCAAATGCCAGCTCAGGTGCAAAAAATCCAGGCACATTCGTGAACAGGGTGGATGTGTTAGAGCTGTCCCACGAACACAAAATGGGTTCGCGATCCCCACTGCCTGCATGTTGGCACTATGAGTTTAACCGCATCATCAATGTTTGATAAGTTCCTTGCAAACTTTGGATTCAAGCAACCTCAAGAGTTGTCACAGCCCGGGGAGGGCACGTGTGTGTGTGTGTGTCAAATAGGAATCAGAATAAGTAGGGCAAAGACTAGGACTTCAGCAGCGGTATTTTAATTTCTTTCGGCATTCTGGGCCACTGCTTGCAGGTAGTCAGTATTGGGTGCCTTGGCTGCATCATTCCGGATGCTGTTTTTTTCAATCAGCGGCCCACTTTACTCCTGATTTGTGTGCTTGTGTGCGGTAGAGCCCTGGCAGTGTATTCATCCATCCATTGAAGTTTATGGTACCTATTGGTAAGGAGAAGGAAGAACTGGCAGGGCCAATCATAGAGATGCGGCCAGGGCTCATCCGACCCTCAATGCCACGGCATTGAAGTTGCTTCAACCGCATCCCTGAGCTCAGGCGCCTTGAAAGCTACCGCAAGGATTGGCGTCCAGTGGAACTTGAATGGGTCAATGATGGTTCCTGGAAGGTGCAACCTGCCAGAGTTTATATGATGTCAAGTGATGAAATGTCTTGGACATGTGTTGATAGATTTTGAATGAATGACATGAAAAATATGAAAAGGGATGTGGATCGCTTCGATGGTATAGAAACAGAAAGAGGTTGTGGTTGCTGGCGTTGGCTTTCATTGTGTTTTTTGTCTGTGTATGTGTTCTTGTGGGGATTTTGAAGGGAAGAACACGATCTGATCAAGCGAGTTGTGGGATGGCTGGGATGATGGTGACGACGCTGACTATGTCGGTGATAGAAGGGGCACCGCCGTTGGTAGCTAGGTGGCGCTAGATATGTTGATTGAATATGATTGAATATGATTATGATTACACTGATTACACTAATTTGTCTGCATTGTGGTTTAGAAGATTTTAGCACAAGAGTGGATCAGGACTGTGCAAGGGACCTCAAACCTTTGAAGACCTTTTGTCCACTTCTTGCTTTGGATTGCTCAGCATTGGCAGGTCGTATGTGATGGAACTGAGTGAGCCACACTAGACTTTGATTCCTGAATGTTCCCTCGTGTACGGCTGCAGCATGAGTCAGAAAAAGCGGAAAAAGCAGCAAACACATCAGGCTTTGATGATTGCAGATGTGGCTTTGAAGCAGTTTGAATGGGTTGGATAAATAAGTCTGCGGCAGTTTGGGTGTTTTTGTAGGGGTTGGGTTGAATGACACCTCGCAACAGTGCTACAGGTTTATGAGTGATTCAAACGAAACTACGCAGGAGACTGAGAACGAGTAATGAGCATTATATGATTATATGATAAATCTTTCGAAGCAACGTCTTGCGTTTGGATATGTTTGCATACAGTGGCATCATCCGCTGTGGCTGGAGAGATATCGATCAAATCTGTATGGTTTAAAGTTTAAAGGCCAACTAGCAGCAGGCTCATTTGTCTCCCAAAACTGGAAAGGACGTCGTCCTGTTTCTCCCAAGTGTGCTTTTGACATGTCCGGGCACCATCTTCAATTGCGCAAGGTGGTACGGATGGAGGGGGATTTGAGCATGAGCTGAAAGAAATTACCAACAACTGACATGCCCTAAAGCCACTGGAACATGTTCCAACGATTTCCAGTGGCACGTGTACACCCTCCGTCAGCTCCGCCCAATATCGCCACAGCAGCAGCAGCAACAGCAACAGCAACAGCAACAGCAACAACAACAACAACAACAGCAACAGCAACAACAACAACAACAACTACAACTACAACTACAACTACAACGACAACAACAACCACAACCACAACCACACCCACACCCACACCCACAGCGACAGCGACAGCAACAGCAACGATGATGACGACGACGACGACGAGTAATACAAGTACGTTATCAGCACTAGTGCTTGCACTACTACAATTGCAGACGCAGTAGATGCAGTAGATGCAGTAGGTGCAGTAGGGAACCCCGCATACACACAATAATAAAGCCTCGGCTAGATGCCAAGCATGATTCACTGGCAAGCGGGCATCTTCGTCAATACTTGCAACCTCACATGGCATGAGCCGGTCATAGCCGGTCACATACTATGACATTGCTTGACATTGCCTGCTTTCCTGTCAATGCTTCCGGCTCTGAAGACGGCGGTCGGGGGCAAGGCCGACGCAGTATAGTATAGCAAAGGGTCAAGAGGACACAAATAGTCATGTTGCCATCAAAGTTATCATGAAATGTTCATGGGGGGCATGGCAATTATCAATAAGCAACATTATGTCATTGCACTTCACTTTGGTTGTTTGGGTGCCAAGGGCCATCAGGTCCAGAGGTGGCGCAAGGGGATTGCAATGGCCGCGCCAACAGAGGATGAGCTTGAGGATTTCATTAAGGACCAGCGGTGGAAGGTGAAGAGATGTAGAGACCTTCAATTTTCCGCTATGAAGAGAGTTTCTGCCTCGAACCTTTTCTTTCCAAGACTGTTTCAACGCTTCGAGGCAAGCATGAAAGTCCTCCAGCAGAGCCTCCCAAGAGATGGCTCTAGAGTAATTTATCCTAATTCCCTCTCGTTATGGCCTAACATGAGGGGACAACAAGAGTTGGGGGAAGAGCAACGCAGAGCAGAAGCAAGACTGCGATAGCGCTTGGCAGTGTCTAACCAAAATCCATGACATCCTCTTGGATAGCAGATTGCAGCATTTACACCTGGGGAGTCCATATTTCAGTATTCATGAACTACAGGCCATATTTCTTGGCGATGCTCCAGAGCAAGTTGCACCAAAAAACGTCATACCCTGTAGCACTTGAGAGGTTATGGCTGAGCAGTGAGGCGCCAGGTGGGACATCCGGATGGGGCATCTGCTTTGATTTGCAGCACGCGCGTCTGGGAGGATAACAACGTGGACAGTCGAGCTGCGTCGGACTTGCGAGAGTGCAACGGGGAAGTCCAACGGAAGGTGCGGCATGGTGCAGCTCTAGGAGTGTGGGATGTTTGGACATGATAAACCCAGTACTGACGGCAGCTTTTCTATTGACCACTGAAGGGATGCCTGCTGCATAGGATTGCATAGTTCCCTGGCCACTGGCATTTTTTGAGTGAATCGGCCAATTTCTATCAATTTCTGGTACGTACCCTTTATTTACATTTGATCATATTAAATCATAGTAAATCCATGTAAATCCATAATCAGTCCGCTGGAGCCATTATCCATATTTATTACTATTTGTTTCTATTTGTTATATGTTGATGTTGCATATGGTTGCGTGTTATCTACCAAGATTCTTGGCCACTACTTGACCAAGATGAATCCATTGACCCCCTTGGCTCATGGTTCCAGGTCATTGCTCGTGGAGATCTCAGTAGTGCACGCAACCCTTCGGCCGCCTTGCTTGCACGCATCCGAGATGCGCCAAAGCCTCGGCTTTCCTTCGGCCGTGGTTGGCAAAAGTATCGTACATGTGCATTTGTAATTGTTTATGATTGTTTGTGCATGTGTGTCAATATGTATATATATATATATGTATAATTATGTATATATGTATATGGATATATATATAGAGAGAGAGAGAGAGTTATATATTTATATGTTTATATACACGTGTATATATATATATATACACGTATATATTATATACATATACGTGTATATATATATATACATGTATATATGTAATATGTAATATAATATATGTGTAACAATATATATATATTGTGTGTGTGCCTGTGTGCCTGTATGCGTGTGCATGGATTGATATGTGTATATATATATTCCATATTTAGTGTGTGCATAGATGTATATGCAGACTGTATAGATAGGGATATGGACAGGCATATATATAATTATATATATATACATAAATACGTGGTGTATCAAGATGTATCAAGCGCTGTACATGAGAACGGGGATTTGGGATAAGACCTGGCTGAGCTTAAAAGGCCGGTTTGAAACATGATCAAGATTGGCAAGTGGTTCCTCCTCATCACTTTAAAGGGATCGTGATCAAACGCGCTTTTGTGCTGAATTTATTGTGCGCGATGTGCAAGACACGGCAATATATGGAGTCCAAGGTTTGGGTATGGATGGGTATGGTTTAGGTTTGGGCTTGTGTATGATTGGGTTTGGTTGTGCACTTTCAGATGTTTGACGGCAACATTTCATAGCCTTTGGGAACATAGACTTTGTGCAGGATAATGCATGCTTAGAAAGCACCAGGCAAATTGGTTTTGCCTGCTGTCTTGCTGAGTGCGGCATGAGCGCCCCCGGCCAGTGACAGCCCTTTCTCATCTCAGGCGCAACAGTGGCTCAGCTCCAGTCTCCAGAGGCAAGGCAACAACTTCAATTGTGAATGAGCTGTCGGTCAGTAGGCGATTCCACCACAATGCTCGTGAATTTCGCGGCCTTTTCGTTGTTGACTTTGTGGCCTACGGAAAACTGAGTGTTTGTAGGTTAGGGGAACCACAAGAGCAGCAGCAACCTCGACCCCGGCGGCAGCAACAGTAGCGAAAAATTGTAACAGCTGAAAGTGTTGCCAGGACACCATGCGGGCTGGGGCCTTGGTGATTCCTACATGGGCGGCTTGATATGGCTTGATAGGATCAGAGTTGCGCAAGGATAGAATAGCCTCATCACAGGGAGCAAATGTAGGTGACATATCTAGAGAAAATTAAGACACTTGCATTTTGCTTCTGGTTTGGCGTTCCCGCAAGTTCGCCCACTACTGAAAGTTTTGATCGCTTTTGTACATCCATGCAGTTGTTTTCCACATGAGTTTTCCCACTCCATTTGTTTGATCCTTTGTGTGATCGCCTCGACCGAGGGGGAAGTACTCCAGAATTGGAAGAGTTGACCCCTCAGAGCGTGCATATATGAGTATAGTGAGTACTTGCTTTATGAGAAGGATTTGAGCAAAGTGAATCATGCATCATTTTGGTTTTTTTTGTTGTGTGTGTGTGTATGTTGGACATGTGCTTTCAGATAAGTATCATTGCATGCAACATTAGCAAAATTCCAAGAATCACATCCGGCATTTGAAGCTTGACTGCCACTGAGGTTCATTGCGCACAACAAGGTCGATGAAAGCGCAGCAGACTCGCTAAGGACTATCTTCTTAAAGAATTACACCCACTGCGCTTCCAAAATTGCTGCTTCCTAATGGCTGATTTTTGGGAGCAACATGTTGGACCAGCATGAGTTTCTTGCATCACTTTAAGGTGCCGATAGCTTAGAGGAGCACCCATAGACTTGACATGACTTGACGGTCTGTCAAGTAGCACACTTTGACAGTGCAGGATACCCGCTCAGTAGAGGGAACCTCAATGCTGCAACCCGCAAGAATGTATAGGAATATCAGATTTCAGCCAAAACAAATGAAGTCCGAAGTGAGGCCCTTTCATTTGGCATCCAAGTGCAATTTCACAGGGGCAACATCACGACTTGCAGGAGCTGCTCCCCTGGTGTTCAGCGCACAGTCATTGCAAGAGGTGAGTTGAAGACAGCCGGGCTTCCCAAGAGTTTGGTTTGCACCAACCCTGTAGAATGTATCTCCGTGGCACCTCGACGCCTTGTCGTAGGTTTGACTGTCAGAAGCTCTGTCCAACAGTCAGGAACCCTACAAGGACTCAAGCTAGCAAAATCACCAGATAAAGTTTAATAGGTAATGACTTGCAAATCCTGCACTTCTTGGGAATAATCCATTGCCATGTTTCTATGCCAGCGGGTAATCAGAAAATGTTAGGCCCATGACACCATATTAATACTAGGCGGATCCAAGTGGAATAGAAAATTGGAGAACGCGTCTTACATAGTAACTTCTTTCTAGCCGCTAGCCTGTTCCATTGTCAGCTTGCCCTTTGTTTGCCGAGCTGCTAACAAGCCAGCACAGAAACAAGGCTAGAAACCCATCTTCTGCATTGCTCTCACGGATTCGAGACGCTAAGAATGGAGCCCGTGGTCCTGGCAGAGCTTGACAATTCTGATATGATTGGAGTGGAGTTATTTCCGCTGCTGATGAAGATACATTTGCCATTCTGATATCATTGGGTTCGAAAGGTTTGGATTCAAAAGGTTCGTGCACCTTGTCAGCCATGTGTCCAGAATCCAGGTGTCTCAGGCCCACGTAAGGCCAGATTTGAGCCATCCACCAAGCTGGTACCTTGCGAGGATTGACCGTGCTAGGTTCAACATTCCATTCGGCCGTGTGCAAAGTTCATCCCTGCCTTTGGCCATCAGCCACCAGATCTCCGGGATGACAGGTTCTGCAGCTCCGGCCGCAACAGGTGCGGAGTGGAAAGCCATGGAGGGATGAAAGAATTTGCTGGGGAAGCTCAGCAGGAAGCTTCATGATCGCTATGCTTGGCATCTATTGTAATTACATGTGATATCATGTAACTACCGTTAATTGCTGTACCTAATGTTTCTTTCAGTGCAAATTGGTAGTACTCGTAGCACGAGAATCACCCATGTTTCAATGACAGCTTTTGCTGCACCCAAGGCCAAGGGAGGACTTTGAATCAGTTGAAGCCCACCATCATGTGGAAGTCATGCAGCTGATGTGTTTGCAAACAACAGCTCAGCCTCCGAATTTTCAGACCATTATAACTATAACTTTAAAAAATACACACGCACACATACATTTACAATCATTTACATATATTATCGTTATATAGTTATATATATATGCCAGAAGTCAGAAGTATTTAAATTGTATACGTGCGTGGGTGAGAGAGAGAGAGAGGGTGTTTGCGTGCGTGCGTGTGTGTGTGTGTATAAGTGTGCTATTGGGCATGAAATGGTTGAT